AATAGGAGCTGCTGGTGGAAGCTGGCGTCCCACCTCCCTGCACGGCACCGCCTGCCGTCGCATCCCTTTCCAGAAAGGAGAAGGGTTAAAAGCCACCCAGGCTCTTTACCCACACGACAGACCTCGAAATGCCTCTCAGGCTGTTTACCTGTTGGCAATCTCCTGAAATCCACACCTTCCCCAATCCTTTCGCCCCATGCCTGCTGCTGGCAGTTCACCAAAGTCTTTTTCGCATGTTCTGAGCGCACGAAGACTAGAACTGCTCTCAAGTACACCCCAATCCCATCCTCATTAGAAATCATTCCTCACACACAGGTCTACAAAGACGCCTCGAAGTTCATCTCTTCAGGGTCCCGGAGAGCATCATTTTTCTCCTTGCTCTCCTCCTGCTGCACATGGTACCACCATTCAGCAAACTGCACTGCGTCGTGGATGCTGTGGAAAGCCAGCTGACCCCCACTGGCTGTCTCGCCAGCCCAGCCTCCCTCCCGGAGCCGGTGGCGGATGGAAGGGTTGCAGTTGGCCAGGAGCACCTGGATGCCAATCTCCTTATAGTCATGATGTATCTCCTTTAGCACAGAGAGACCCACAGTATCTATGAACTGCATTGCCCCACAGTCAAGGATTAAGGTGTGCATATCTGGAGAGGGAGGACAGGCATCTGCTGGGGACTTCACAGCCTTTTTCTTGGTCTGTTTCAGGCAGTCAAACCTGGTGCCCAAAAAGCTCTTGCAGTTGCCTGTGTCTGCATTTGCCTGGGCCTCCACCTTCTGATGCTCAGCTGCCAGCAGGACAGGATTTACTCCAGTTTTCTGGTAAAGAACAGTCTTGAAATAGTCTTTGTTGGCATAGTAAAGGCATGACTCGAAGCGGAAGATTTTGATGTTGGCAACACTGCTGAGCTGCTTGTAAGTTGACTGGTCCTCATAGATTTCTGTGTTGCTGACCTTGCCCAGGAGCGTGGCCCTGGGTCTCTGCGTGCGGAAGATGAAGCAGAGCAGAGCGAAGCAGACACCCACGAGGAGACCGATCTCCGTGGTGATCAGCGTGGAGGACAGCATGGTTGTCCACCACACCATCGTGTCCAGCTTGCTAAGCTGCCACATGTGGGGGATGTCATGGAACTTCTTCAGACCCCCTCGCAGGTTGACAATGGTGACCACCCCCAGGATGGAGGTCTGCAGCGAGTAGAAGAGCGGGGCGATCCACAGCAGCACTAGCAGCAGCACCAGGGAGGTGACCAGGCCAGAGACCTGGGTCTGGGTCCCCGTGGATTCCTTCAGCAGAGTCTTGGTCAGGGCCGCAGAGCTGGCAAAGCAGTAGAAGAAAGAAGGGATCAGGTTGCACATGCCGATGGCAATCATCTCTTGGTTGGCACGAACGGCGTAGCCATGCTTTTTGCCAAAGATTTCTGCCAGGGAGACAGTCATGGCAAAGCCAATAACAGCAATGGGCAGAGCATCAACTGCCAGGCTGGAAAACAGGGTTATATCTGGTAGAGTGGGTTTCCTGAAACCAGTGGGGATATGCCCACAAACAGCAGACTTGTATCGCACTTCGAAGTTAAAGCAGTAAGATACTACCGTGGCTACAATGACCACCAGCAGCTCCACGGGGAACGGGGCCTTCATCTTCTCCTTATACCGGCCATTGATCTCTTTGACGGGCACTATGATGGCCAAAGCAACCAGGCTGGTGACCAGGTCACAGATGTTGGTATTCTGGATGTACCTGAAAAGGTCAACCCACGTCAGGATGAAGGACCCCACCCCTTCGTGACGAGGGATTTTCAGTCCAAGAAGGTATTTCATCTGGGAGGTGATAATGGTGAGGCTGGAGCCGGTCACGAAGCCACTGAGGAGAGGTTCTGAGAGGTAGACAGCCACAAAGCCCAGCTGTAAAACCCCCAGCAGGATCTGAAAAGAAAACCAGCCATACCTTTAGCATCGATGAGAAGGGCTGGAAGACGTGGCTGGCAATTTATGTCAGTTTGCTTCCACTTTAGCAGCTCTGGCTATTCTGTCTGCAGAGCATTCAGTGTGAGGCAGAGGACTTTGTCTTCAGCAGTTAATCTGGGGTATGAAAAACTAACGACACCTATCTGTAACGCTCGTCTGGGGCTAGAGATGCCATACGAAGAAGCCTACAAGGTCCCTGCCACTGTCTCCTTGCAAGCAGTAAGCGCACACAGTTAACACTGAAAGTCCAGGCAGCAGCCCCATCAAAGCAGCTCCGAGTGGTGGCATAAAACCAGTGTGATGCACTGGATGCCAGTTGTCCTAGTGAAAGAGCATGAAGCTGTTCAGTGACAGCTAGGCCCAGGCAGCAGGGCACTGCTCCTCTGAAGGAGCCCCTGCTGATGGCAGGGTCCTTGAGGGCTGCTCTTGTCAACCCCAAACCCGCTCCAACCTGCACCAGGACTGGTGTGGTGGGAAAGTGGTTCACAGTTCCTTCTCCTGCCTTACGGTTTCTGACTCTAAGGATGTTTCAGACACATCCAAGGGCTTGGTCTATCACATGGGGGGAAACAAAACCCCACATTCAGCCATGTTTGGGGGTTTCTAAATCACTACATTTGATTCAAGGGTGTCAGGGTCTAGTCACATCAGGAAAGGTTTCTCATGACTTGTTAGCCTGAACCAAGACTGGAGCTTAGAGATCTTTAGCTCAGAGAAGTTCCTAGCAGGGAAAGGACAGGCAGGAAACAGCAAAACAGCAAACATTTGTACCTGGTAAAGACCGACCAGAAAGCTTAAGGAAAGGGCCACAGTGATGGCGTAGCAGCTCCTGTCACAGGTACCCGTCACGTTAGTGGAGGAGGTGGCGTTGCCCACCAGCCAAGAGCCAGCACTGCCGTCGCTGTACCCTGCGAGCTGGAGATGCCGGTTCACAGACTGCCCAACCATCAGGCACAGGACGCCGAAGGAGCCCATGAAGTTATGGCGTGAAGTGGCCATAGCGACATAGATGATATTGGAGAAGAAGTTGGTGTAGATTCCGTAGATGGGCTCCTGGTTGGCTAAGAGGGAGTAGGAGATGGACTGAGGGATGGCAACTATCCCCACCAGGAGCCCAGATATGACATCCCCAAGCAACTGTGTCTTGACGTTGTAACGGGGAAGCCAGTCCAGCACTGGGAACAGCTGACAGAAGAAGGTGGTGATGGTTTGATGATTGCATGTGCAGATCTCTCTGGCTTTCTGTAGGATGAGTTCCTTGGTGCTGAAGTCTGCAGGCTCATACTCCTCCAATTTGACACATACAAAACTGGCAGGAGTCTCTTCTGGCATTAGGGAGCCCAGCATGTCTTTGCTCTGTCCGGACTTCTGGCTTGATGTGTCCTCCATTGCACCAGGAGAGCTAAGGCAGGAGAGCAGGCAGCCCAGGAGCATTGCAGTCATGTACATAACACTCTTTGCTTAGCTCCAGGGCTCGTGCAGATTACATGGATAAATAGATAAAGGAAAATAACCTCAGACAAATCAAACAGAAAAGTACTTTCCCATGGTGCTGGTTGATTTGTTTGTTTTCAGTTATGGACCTCATCAACCACAACCCTGACACCATGGTTTATATTGAGTTTACACTGGCACACATCAGGGACAGAGCTACAGACCCCTGTGCTCCTTCCTAACATACCTCTCGTTCTGGAACAGAGCAGCAGGACAGGGTAAGATCCGACAACAGTATTTCACTGAACCTTCTTCAGGAAGCCTGTATTCCTTGATGACACTTCCACAGAAGCAAAAACTACTTTGAAAATGTTGAGACATTCCAAGTGAGGCTTTAGGAATGCAACACTTGGGTAAGGGAGGTAATTCACAAAATTATTTTTCCTTTAACATTTCAAAACTTTGAATAACATTGCTGGCTTGCACCAAACAGGCCCATCACAGGGCTCCTACCCGCAGAATGACAGCATCCTACGTTTTCAGTCTGGTTAAGTAACATGTTCACCTCCCAGAGCTACTCCAAGTTTTTTAGTCAAAATGCCTTTTTGTCAAAACTGAACAATACACACAGAGAAGAATTCTGAGAGGAGACCTTGAGTGGCTGCAGTTCAGAAACTGAACTGGGATGATAAGAAATCCCATACCCCTGCCCTATGGTTCATTTCACAACACTAGTCCCAACCCAAATCTCTTACCTCTGGCTGCAGGGAGATACACAGGGTGCTTTCTCACTACCCGGAGCTTCTCCCCTGTGGACAGACCTGTCTCCTCCACCTCGCAGCACGCTCCGACCAGAGAGAGCACGAGGCTAACAACTGCAAACCTGTTTTCTCTGCCTTTCTTCTGGACCATGTGCCGCTTCCCTTGAGAAGAGATCCGAGTCACTCAGCCAAGCGATCGGCCCTTTTATCTCACTCCAGCCGATGAGGACGGTGCAGCCGGCCAAGCAGAGCTGTATTTTGAAAACAAACATCATTCCAGGAGAGTATTTTTGATGAAAACATGTTCTGGCTGTTAAGAATGATTGAAGGGGTTTAGAGAAGTGCTCCTGCCAGATAACAGTAATGCTGGTATGTGAAGATGTTTGCTAAACAAGGGGAACGGTGCAAAGAAATCGTGTGTGTGCTATTGCTCTGCCCCTCCCTGAACCAAGAGAGCATCATCACCTGAGTCCTGACAGGCTTCTCTGCTCAGGTTTTCATCTAGTATGGACAAGCTTTTGTCAAAAATAAAGTAAATAAAAGGGAAACTCGTTCCAGAATGACTGTCCTTCACTGGTGGCTTTTCCAGCAGTGTGCTGCCACCAGCTCCCTGCGCCCTGCTCAGCCGCCCGCCTGGCTGCTCCCCGCATGCCTCCACCTCTGCTCGGCCTCCAAGAGCCAGGGATGCCGGGCTTCACCGAGGCTGTGCAAAACAGGGGTCTGCACAGGCAGCAAAGGTCTCATGAGACAAGTTATTCCTAGGGAGATAGAAGAACTCAGTACATGTCAAATCTGCACAATCCACATTTTCCATGTGCCTTTTAGAGACCAGCACAATTTTTTTTAGCACAAATAACAAGGAGTTCTGCTTTGCAGAAGTAAGCACAATTTGGTAAAGTGCAGGGTTGCATTTCTTTTGTAGGTAAAGGTGAGCAATTGCATTAGTGGGCAGGAAAAAGGTAATGTCTCATCATCCTGAATTGAAACAGCAGTGTCCTAAGTACCAGCTGGAGCTGTTCTGCCCTTGTGATCCATGCCAACAACCTACAGCAGACCGCTCAGCGCACACTCCTACCTGCCAGTCTCACCTTGCTCTCTTTTCCATCTCTCTTCTAACCACCTAGTCTCCAAGATCTTGCTGGATGTGCCACTGCCCTGTGGAGCAGGACAAACGCCTGGCAGTCAGGCCTCTGCTCCTGGCATTGACTGTTCTGGGCTTGGGGAGGGGGCTGAGAGCCCACGGAGTTTGGAGAGATGGCGTGGGGCATGGAGAGATGACATTTTCACAAGGCTTTGATTTAGATGCTGGGGAGACACCCTGAGGGAAGAGAAGGGGAAGATCAGCATCCTGAGATACATTTATCTCATCAGTGGAAGTCTTTATCTCGGTAATTAGAAGTAAATAAATAAGAAACATCAGTGCTCTCTGGCAGCAGGACAAAATGAGAGCACGTGGTAGGGGAGAGAGCAGCTCAGTGTATCTATTTACATGAATTCTTTATTCCCTGCCATTCCTCTACAGCCCTGTATTTTCAGGATAGCTCGCTCTCCCTTTCCCTTCCACTTCTTTAAGTAGTGGACTGTATCTTTCCTTAGCCTTGTCATTCTCCCTGTCCTTAAAAGACAATCCTTTCATATGCTTTATTATCCTTCCTAGTCACTAAAACCCTTCCTAGCCCTAAAATCCTAGCTCATTTTGTGTCTTGGCCTGCCTGATGCTGTCTCTACTCACTCATTTTCCTTTTCCATCTTATTCCTTAGCAAATGACGCAAACCTCCATTTTCTGTACGATTCCTTCATTCTGAACTCCAGCCACTGAAGAACTGGTGAATCAGTCACTGAAGAGCTGGCCAGGCTGGTCTTTTAAGTCGGCTTGTTTGCTGGGATGAAACACACCTGAGCACAGTCCATCTTGGGGTTTTGATCTTGTTTAGGAAGCGTTCACTTCCAGTTCTGGATCTCTGATCTGTAACCATAAAACTTGACAAAGCACTTTTTCCCATTTGTGACAGTTCTCGGCTGCCGTTAACCTCCACCCTGCCTCCACTGCCTGCTGCTGTTTTTCCTTCTTCACTTACACGTCCTGGAACTCGTTTGTTATGATTTCCTTCACCACCTGATACAACTTAGTAAGCTTTTATATAGCCATGCTCTCCCATCTCTCCCAGGTATAGATTTTGGTGAGATGTTATTTTTCCCACTCCTGTCTGCGTGCCTCCCCTGCCATCCTTGGTAATTGTGACTACCTATCCTTCCAGTTATCTGAAGCCTTCCCTGCAAATTCGTTCTCCCTTTCTTGTGTGCAAATTCCCAGTTGCTTTTGTATACCTGACTTCAAAATATTCTATATTTTCCCTGCAATTCATTCTCAAGATCCTTGTCCCATCTGGCTTCCCCAGTTCACAGAATCACACAGAATCACAGAATGGTTTGGGTTGGAAGGGACCTTAAAGATCATCTAGTTCCAACCCCCCTGCCATGGGCAGGGACACCTTCCACTAGACCAGGTTGCTCCAAGCCACATCCAGCCTGGCCTTGAAGACATCCAGGGATGGGGCATCCACAACATCTCTGGGCAACCTGTCCCAGTGCCTCACCACCCTCTCTGTGAAGAATTTCTTCCTGACATCTAATCTAAACCTCCCTGATTTCAATTTATACCCATTCCCCCTTGTCCTATCACTACAGGCTCTTGTAAAAAGTCCTCTCCCAGCACCCTTGTAGGCCCCCTTCAGATATTGGAAAGCTGCAATGAGGTCTCCTCGGAGCACCTCAAAGCAGGGAGCCTTCATGCTACGGCAGCTTCTGCATGGTCCTCTGTGCAGGAAATTCAGTCTGCAGACAGGGAGGAGAGGCCATTTCATACTCCCCATCCCGGCAGAGAACGTATTTGGTGACACTGAACACTGCACGTCTCTGAAATCACTTTTACTGCATGAGGCGAGGCAAGGGCGGAAAATGCCAACATCTCACGTTCGCTGTAGAAAATGTATAGCAGACAGCTTAAAAAAAGAAACCCACAACGGAACTTCATGTGACCTTGAGCTGGCTACGGCCCCGCTGCCTTCCAAATGCAAGGTCACCACAGCTAACTGCTGGAACTGTTTGTTTTCAAATGCGTCTTCAAGGGCTGTTCTTTATTGCCACCATAAACTCAACTGTTTTAGCCCCACGTTGGGCAAGGCTGGGTTGGACAGATGGTATTAGCTTGAACAATGCAAGCGTCGACAGGACGTTGCCTGCCAGTAACATGGCACCCTCTGTTTGTAAAACAAGAAGAAAGCACGAAATCCAAATTTTTCATTTATGGCACGGTATGTGAGCAATGCAACATCCATCCACGCAACAGCCGTCGCAGCCAGCTAGAAACAGAGCGGCCGAAACCCAAGCTCTGGGTACAAGGAAGGTGCAGTAGTGGGCTATTTTGGTGTTCTATCCCAAAGTAGAAAAAACAATGAAATTGTCCAGGTCTGTGACTGTTACCCACGCATATTGCAATGGATAAGTGTAGCGAATTCAAGTCTCTGCTGCTGTGTCAATGCATCCCTTGTGTTTTACAGGACGAGCTGGCATCTCCAGTTTTCTTTGGAACAGACCTAACTGCACTGCACAAGGATTTTTGATTTAAGGCTTGTAAACACACTACTTGGCTCCTGGAAGCCCTTCAAGTCGCATCCCACATGTCTTGGCTCCATAATGGACCAGCCTGGCTTAGTACGTGGCTGCACCCCACTGCTCCGCCGTTACTTCGATCACATGCATTTTTATTAAAAAAATAAAAAGGCAAGTAAGCCAGGTAATGGTGCCAGGTATCTCAGAGAGATGCTCTTCCTTCCCTTCAGATTTGGGACTTGACAGTCTTTTGGGATGGCTACTGGTTCAGTTCCACTTGGAAAATGAATTTTCAAGATGTAGACATCAGCAAAACATCATCATTTTTTAAGGGAAGAACAAGGAGAAGGAGACAAGCCCAGAATTGGTCCCACTGCTGAGATATGGCAAAATGCAACAAAAGCGCCTGAGGACAAAGAAGCTGAGCAGAACTTCTCCGATGGTTTCTTGGAAAGCAATTATTCACATTTCTGCAAGAGAGAACACCACCAAATGTAGAAGCAGTACACTAGGTCATCCCAGGAAACGAGTTTTGGCAGCCTCCTGCTATTCTGTGAACGTGCAGGAGTCACAGCAGAGCA